TAGAAATACTATTTCTAACTCTCTGAAGACTGTAATTTAAATTTTGATAGGGATTGCATTGAATCTGTAGATTGCTTTTGATAGGATAATCATTTTCTGTTTTGATTCTGTCAATCCATAAAAATAAGAAATCTTTCCATCTTCCTGAGATTTCTTCAGTTTCATTTTTTTGTGTTTTATAGTTTTCCTTAAAAGGTCTTTAACATCCTTAAATTTATCCCCAGGTATTTTTGAGGTCATAATGAATGGGACTTTTTTCTCTGCCTGTTCTTTGATGCTATGTAGAAAAAAACTACCAATTTTTGTTTACTTCTGTATTTTGATACTTCATTACAAGTGGTTATGAGACCCTTCATCTCTTATGAGAGCAACTTGTTATGATGATGTGAGTCCTCACTCCTAAAAGAGTAGTCAAAATGATTCTATCAGTTACAAGACCCTTAGCAGAGTCCAAATCAGTAAGGATGCTTCATCAATCTGTAAGCTAAATAAAACCTTATTTCTTTTACAGTCAAATTACATTAGGTATTTTGTTAAGTAATAAAACATAGCAGATACTTCATATAACCAGACAGTTCCATTCCTGGATATATATCCAAGAGTAATGCAAAAATATATCTAAATGAAAATTTATGAACGAATATTCATAGAATTACTCATAGTATCTAATGAGTGGCAACAGCGCAAACATTCATTAACTGCATTACAGAAATAATGCTGTGAGTTATCAATATTACAGGCTATTTTCAACATTAAAAATCTGATAATACTATTGCATAAGTGAAACTAGAAAACATTATAGAGTGAAAGAAGCCAGCAGAAGGGTTACCGTTACATAAGTCAGGTAATGAATACATTTCTTTTTTTAGCAATGTCATGCCTTCCCTCACTCTCTCCTAGTTCTGCCCTCCTGTCTCTATCCACAAGTTGTAGAGTTCATTTTCAACATAGTACCTAGTGAATACCACTGCATTTCCCTCTGTACATCACCTTTATAATTTTGATTAAAATGCAGAAAAGGAAAAAACACAGGAAAATAAAAGGAAGTCAACAGAAAAGTCCACATATAATTCAACTGCTCTTTTCTAGCAACTGATAGACAGAGACAATATGAGACATTGGTTTTCCATGTATATGGAGATGGGGAAATTGAGGGAGAAAAGAAATGCTAAAGGGTCAGGGTTCCCCTATGAGATAATGAAAATGACACAAAATATTCTAAATGTAAAACACAAGGAATATTCTAAAAACTATATTGCATTATTAAAAATCAAATATATCAGAATCTATATTTTGTGATTATCAAAATAATTTGCATAACAGTGAAAAGATAATCCCAACTGAGAAAACATTTAATATATTTTATATGCATATTATATGTAAAATATAACATAATAGAATATATAAGTTCCATGTATGCTATATTTACATATGGTATATATAGTGTATATGCATCTTATATATGCATAGTATGTTATAATATATTATGTTATATATGCTATATTTATATATGTATAATATAGTACAATCTATCATTACTATATATGTTATGTATATTTTATGTATGTAAGATACATATTTATTTGACAAAGAATTTATGTCTATATATATAACAAAAAGAATTCCTACAAATCAATAATGATGAAAAGAAAAAATAACATGAAAAGAAAACTAACAAAAAAATGGATTATGCTGCCAGAAATTGAAAGGGGAACTGGTGCTGGTTTGGTTTCTTTACAAACGTGGTACTCAAACATCTTTTGGAAGAGGTCATATCTGACTTGAACTGCAGAAGAACTACTGTCATTCTAGTTTAATAAGAATTTTTCTAGAACTGCAAAGAGTAATTTCAGTATCAAGAATGTTATCAGAATAGGAAACAGTGATTTTAAATGCCAAGCCTAGAATGAATTTGATCTCTTCAAGAATCACCAGTTTGCAGTGAATATAAAGCCAAGTGAGTGCAAGAGTCTGAGAAGATAAATGTGAAGAGCTAGCTGGGAATGACTGTTTCTCTTCTTCCCAGAAACACCTCACATCTCCCACCTCATGTTTCTAATGCCCCCGTGCAGGACTAGTAAAACTTATCACTTCAGTTTGCCCAGAACTGAGTATGTCCCTAATATTCACACCAAGCAATATTTATTTTAACTTAAAAGTTTTATGACAAGCACAACAGCTCATTCAGAGTATCCTTGAATGCTCTGCTCTTCCTAACCTTTATCTACCTGGTTACTCAATTTAATGAATGTTTAACTCAAAATGTCTCATGTGCCCATTTCCCTTCAGTTTCACTGATAAAACCATGCTCATAATTTCCAGCTGATCCTCTGTGATAGTCTGTTGGTCTTATTTAGATTCTTTAGTTATAATGTAATTTATCTCTGCATATCCTATATTTTTTCAGAATACATACCACATCATGTACATTTTTAAATTTTTCTAGTTCATAAAATCTTCTGGGATTTCACCATGTGAATCATTATCCTCAAAATGTTCTTAGTTTCAATTTGCTAAGGATCCGAGTCTTCGATATATGCTCAAACCTCTCTTGTTTAACTTATGACATTCAACTAATTACTAAAACAGCTATATAATCTCCTTTGTTTACAAAGGAGGAGGCAACAATCCTTGATAAGAAATGTATTCATTATCTTGCTTATGTAATTGTAACTCCCCTGTATGGTATTTTCACAATAAAAGAAAGAAAGAAAGAAAGAAAACAAAAATATTCTGATTCAAATTACAATTAAAGAGGCTGAAGAAGAAAATCTGAAGCCAATACCTCAGAAAGAGGTGCCTTTCTAAAGAATCAAAGTGAAAGATTAATGATGCTGGCATAAACATCACACTTGAACATTAAAAATCATGGACAAAAATACTTTTAAGTATGCTTCAATATTTAAAAATATTAGTTGCATGTGTTAATATTTTGGAGACTAGACTGGATATCTACAGTTAATGAAGTATAAATAAAGCCTAACAATCTTGATTAAACTGTCACAATTTATTGTGATTAGTCACTATAACAAATGACATTTGAAGATGTCTCAAACAACCCAGGTAGAAGAATGCACCTATGGCAGGTTTAATTATTTACAGTACTGTCATGCATGTATCTGCCAACAGACAAATCACCATTCTACTATATGGAATTCAATACTGGGAAAACTTAAATATAAAGTGAAGATTATGTTACTTAATACTTAAAAAGTTGAGAAGAAATGAATTTTGATAAACTTGAAAATGCTATTACAAGACTTTGGAAAGTAGTATGGAGGTTCCTCAAGAGACTCCACAGAGAGTTCCCCTATGACCCAGCAATCCCACTTTGAGGCATTTATCCAAATGATCACAAACAAGACCATACTAAAGCTACCAGCACAACTATGTTTATTGCAGCATTTACCATAGCTAAGATATGGAACCAACCCAGATGCCCCTCAGTAGATGAATGGATCAAGAAAATGTGATATATATACACAATGGAATTCTATGCCTCCATCAGAAAGAATGATGTCCCATTTGTTAGGAAATGGAAAGAGTTGGAAAAAGTTATATTAAGTGAAGTAAGCCAGGCCCAAAGAAACATAGGTTCCATGGTTTCCCTTATTTGCAATAACTAGTATATGTCTGAGACAAGCAGAAAAATGTCAGATAAGTTGATATTAGGCAAAATGAACCCCAAGATAAGGACTCCAATGTTTTTTTTCTTTCTTGCTATTGTTTCTAACATATTTACAAGTTGATTGTTTTGTTGCTTTGTATGTCCCTCCCCCACAGTATAATCCCTGCTTTCACTGTATTTGATGTTGGTATAATTTGTGGAGGGGAAGGGAAAAAATTGTTTAAATAGGGATATAGGTGGACCCATTGCAACAATGAGATGTACAAGATGTTATGTTGAAAAACGAACTTTACAACTTTGGCGCTGGGGGAAGGGGTGGGCCCAGAGACATGGGGTGTGGGGGGAGGAGATGGGAAGGGATGGGGAGGAGGCTACAATGCTTGATAAGAAATGTAATTGTAACCCCTCTTTATGGTATTTTCACAATAAAAATAAGTAAAAAAATAAAATAAAATAAATACAGTCTAAATAAAATATCAATCAAATAGAAAGAAAGTGAGCATAGCAATAGGGGGGGAATGTGGTGAATAACTTCAAGGCAGGAAATAAGTTGAAATATCAAGGAAAATATTCTAATTTTCAGGAATGAGATAGGGAGAAGAGAGAGAGTGTGTTTTGTGTGGAGATTAGTAGGTGGTTGAGAGTCTGAGAGAGTAGGGGAGTCAGAGTGGGTAGATTGGTTAGTTTAGATAGTTGCGAGGAGTTTTTCCACTGAGAGAAGAACAGCATACTGATGGCTAGCACAGAATCAAAGTACAAGCAATATGAAAACTATTCCCACGCTTCTTTGCTGATAAAGGGAAGCTATTTACATTATTGAAATTCAACTTGAAACAAAGAGTTCAATTTAAGAATGGAGGAAACATTTGAACAGACACCCATACAAAGGACAAATGTACTTACCATTATCATTGGAGATCTGAGAACTGAAGCAATAATGAAATACAAGAAGACACCCATTAGGATAGCTAAATCCCAACCAGCTGAAACATATGTGAAAGGAAGATGGAATTGCAAAATAGTATGATTGTTTTTAAAAGGAGATGAGTCCACATGGGGCCAGTGGCTGCATTTCTATCTACTTTAGGAGGCTGAGATCTGAGGATGGTGGTTCAAAGCCAGGCCAAGCAGGAAAGCCTGTGAAAGTCTTTTTGTTTTGTTTTGTTTTTTATTGTGAAAATACCGTACAGAGGGGTTACAATTACATGAGCAAGATATCGAGTACATTTCTTATCAAGCATTGTTGCCTCCTCCTTGTTTCCCCTTCCCATCCCTTCCCATTCCCCCCTCCTCTGCCAACCCCCCCCCCCCCCCCCCCCCCCCCCCCCCCCCCCCCCCCGCCTCCCCGCCAAAATTCTAAAGTTCGTTTTTGACAAACGTATGGTTAGATGTCGGGAAGTAGGTAGCAATGCCTTAACCATATGCATGTTGTCAGGCCCAAGGGCTGCTTCCATCCTTGTCAAGGGGCCTGCTAACCTTCTCTCCTTTCATACAACACAAGCCTGTGAACATCTTATCTCCAATTAACCACCAGAAAGCTAAAAAGTGAGCTATGGCTCTTATAATAAGGGCACTAACATTGAACTCAGGGAGTAGGCAGTCTTTTAGATTTTTCCCCTCAATGTTAGTGCCCTTATTATAAGTTGAGCCATAGCTGGCACGCACACACACACACACACACACAGAGTTAGTAATTCCTTATGAAAGTATACAGTCTTAATATGTGAAATAGCAATCATTCTCCTAGTGGTTAATCCACACAAAAGAATTGTTTTCTGTATTACAACAATAAGAATGAGCTATTAAGCCATAAAGAATGTAGAGAAAATTTAAATGCACATTGCTAATTTCAGATTACATATTGTTAAATTGTCCTTTGTTGTCATATGAACTCAACATGAAATCTACTCTCTTAAACCTTTAAGTGCTGTGTTCTGAACAATAAGCACTAGGCTTTGCAACAGATCTCTAGAAGTTATTCAGCTAGCATAAGCAAACTCTATGGGCATTGACCAACTTCCCTTTTCTTCTACTATTCCAGTTCCCACAACTAAGCAACTACTATTGTACTCTGCTTCTCTGAGTTTTCCATTATACATAGTACCTGAGAATGTGAAAATTTGGGGAAAAAAAACTAACTAAAAAATTTCTTAATGTAGACCTGCAATCATTTCTTGAATATTAGAACAGAAGCCTATATATACATATATAAAAAAAACAAAATAAAAACAATCAGCAAAGGAGAACAGTTATGGAATGTGAAAAATGATACTCTTTGTCTTTATATTGATTTTTCAAATGACTTAATGGAATTATAATTCACATTTCATAACATCTAAAACTTAAAATATGCAAGTTAATGATTATTGTACTGTAATCACAGTTAAAAAATTATTATCCAATTTGAGAACAATTTTTATAATTTAAAAATTCAGATGAATTAACATTCTCTTAATAATCTGTCTCTATAGATTTTGCACATTTCATAAAAATGGAATAATATTTGGTCCTTCAAAATTAGTATCTTTTACTAACATAGTTCTTTCAAGATTCACCCATATGTAATATTACCAATATTTAATGAATTCTTTGATTTTACTTACATATTATCATGTGGTCATTTGTATCATTTTGGGACTAAAAAAATATTGCCATTAGCAAATATGTGAATATCTTATGTACGTACATTTTCTTTCTACTTATGAATCTTTGTTGGAGTTGAATCTTTGCCCATGCTTGTTGTCTGATATTTTGGTTATAGCCATCAAATACTTGTGTGAAGTGCTTTCTTACAGTTTGGATTTCCCTTCCCTGTTGACTAGTGATGTCCAGCATCTTTTAATTCTTGCTATTCATCTGAATGTCTTTTTAGGGAAATGTCTCAGTATATGCTTTACCTACTTTTTAATGATTATCATTTTATCATGAGTTGGAATAGTTCTTCATAGCTAGTTATTCCTCTGGAAGATTCTATAGCCCCTAATGACACCAAAATCTAAAGATTCTCAGATATTTTGTATCAAATGGTAGATAGTTTTCATATTACTCCCTATATTGCCTCATATGGTTTGAACAATATCCACATTACCTATAATACCTAACATAATACAAATGTAATATAAACAGTTACAATGTATTATCTCTGATGACAAGAAATAAATTCTATACATGTTCAATGCATATACTTTTATTCTGAATACTTTATATCCATAGTTGAATTTTCAGATGTAGAGGGTCAAATACATTGTAAGTCCTTAAGTCCTTTATCAAATATAGACCTCTCAAAATATTTTCTTTCATTCTGGAGATACTTTTTACTTTCTTGACAGATTACTTTAGGATGCTTCTAATCCTGATTGAATTGAATTGAGCCTGACTGTTGCCTGTACTTTTGATATCATGTCGAAGAGGCTTTGCCTAACAAAATATCAGAAAGATCTATCCCTAGGCTCATATGATTTAATCATATGACAAACTTTAGACTTCACATTTACGTTGTTGATCTATATACAAGGGAAAGGTCCAGTTTCATGCTATGCACATGGAAATCCAGATTTCCCACAATTATTTGTTGAAAAGATCATTCTTTTCCTACTGAGAGCTCCTGGCAACTTGTAAAAATCAGGTGACTCACAGGTATTAATTGTACAATTAATGCTTTTGGGTAGCAAATATGGTTACTGCTGAGTTTTGATGTCTTCAAGAACATGTAATAGACATAGTCTATGTGGTCCTGTATCATATATGTCATCCTTCATTTGTTTGATGGTTAGCATCCAGATCATATCACAGGTCTAGTCATGTACTCATGTGTGCAGTACATCTCCTTCTAGGTTCACTGATACTAACCCTAGTGATCAAAGCCTAAATTTTTTGATACCACTCCAACTCTATTGACAGTACCTTAAGCAAAGATGTTTAGAGTCTAGTTCATGAACTCTTGTCCATATTCCTTTGGTTAAGGCAGCACATCATGGCAAGGTTGTACAACAGAGCAAACCAATATACTTCATGGTCACAGAGCAAATCAGCAAGAACAAAGAATCTCTATGAGAAGGGATCAAGTTTCAAAACAATGAATATCTTCTATATCACTCAAGAGCTCCAAGTCAGAGGCAATTAACAATGGGCAAACAAAATCAAACACATTTCTCTGAAAGGAAAATTCAGATGGCTGGAAAACATGTCAAAGCATGCTCAAAAATATTAAGCATTTTGGAAAGTAAAATTAAAAGAACAAAGACACAGTACCTCACACTTCTTAGGCTGGCTATTTCAAAAACATCAAACAGTGTTGTGGTGTAATTATACCTCTGATATTTGTTGGAAGAAATATGAAAAACAGAATGGAGGTTATTCAAAAAATTTGCGTTCCCTTCTCTGTGTATATACCATAAACAATTGAAATCAAAATCTTGAAAAGATTTCTACATTCTCATTTTCATAGCATCATTGTCCCAACATTTCAAGATATGAAAACAATCCAAGTATCAATATATGAATTGATAAAAAAATATGTTATACCCATATAATGGAAAACTATTCAGCCTGATAAAGGAATCTTGCCATTGCAAAAGTATGAAATATGAAGACATTTTTTCTCAATGAAATAAGCCAATCAGATAAAAAAGATAATGTACCCTTATACATAGTGCAATATAGTCATATATTTCTTTAATCTGTTAAAGAGAAGGCCTAAAAGAAATGACAGCCAAACAAACAAAAAAAAAGTAAACTACAAAATCCATCTTGCTTTGCTCAATTTACATAGATTGCTTGGTATAAAACCAAGACATCTAAGCAGTAACGAGGTTCCTCAAAAGACTCCACATAGAGCTCCCTTATGACCTAGATCCCACTTTGGGGCATTTACCCAAATGATCACAAGACCATACTAAAACTCCCAGAACAACTATGTTTATTGCAGCATAATTATTTACCATAGCTAAGATAAGGAACCAGCCCAGATGTCCCTCAGTAGATGATTGGATCAAGAAAATGTGGCGCGTGCGCGCGTGTGTGTGTGTGTGTGTGTGTGTGTGTGTGTGTGTGTGTGTGTGTGTGTAATGGAATTCTATGCCTCCATCAGAAAGAATGACATTGCTCCATTTGTTAGGAAATGGAAAGACTTGGAAAAAGTTTTATTAAATGAAGTAAGCCAGGCCCAAAGAAACATAGGTCCCATGGTTTCCCTTATTTGCAATAACTAGTATATGTCTGGGACAAGCAGAAAATGTCAAAAGCTATGTACATATGACCAGCTAAGATGAAGTTAAGTGAAATGAACCCCAAGATAGAGACACAAGTGGTTTTTTCTTTCATGCTATTGTTTCTCATGTATTTATAATGTGCCATGTGTTTTTGTTGTTGTTGTTGTTGCTTTATATGTTCCTCCCCAGTGGTATAACCCCTGTTTTCACTGTATTTATGTTGTTCTAATTTGGGGAGGGGAAGGGGAAAAAAATGTTTAAATAGGGATACAGGCTGACCGATTTTAATAATGAGATGTACAAGACACTATGTTGAAAAATGAACTTTACAATTTAGGCAGGTTGGTGGGGGAGTGTAATTGTGGAGGTGGGAGGAAGGGATGGTAGGGGAAAAACAAAGGAGGAGCCAATAATGCTTGATAGGAAATGTACTCATTACCTAGCTCATGTAACTGCAACCCCTCTGTACAGTATTTTTACAATAAAAAATTATAAAAAAAAGCATAATCAAGAAAACATTGACTACTTTAATAAATGTAGCAGATGAGAAAGAACTCTAACTGATGCATATTTCTGACCTCAAAGACAGCAAACATAATGCCTCAAACTCTATGTGGTCTGTAAATGGTGATTTCCTTCCCAAGACTAGAGTATGGGACTGAGAGGGACTAACTTTCCAGAGCAAGAAACATAACTGCAATCTCAGAGACATTATCACAATCAGCATCAGCAGTCAGTTACTCCTTCTTCTGGTTATGATGCAATTAAAATATTTTACCTCTGTGATCTTAGCCTGCAAAATGCATAGCTCTGATTAAAACAAATTCAGGCAAATTCCAATAAAGAGGATTTCAGTATGAATTGGAAATGATACATTTTTTAAAAGCTACAATCATGGCTGAAAAAATTCTAGGATAAATTCTGAGGCCACCAAGTTTTAGCTTTAGGATTATCCAGAGTTTTGAACATTCTCTAAGAATCCCTATATTGTTCAAATTAATTTACTTGTCCCAAAAGAAAATAAAAGTCAATAGTAGGTCAAAAGAAAAAAAATGCTGCTGATATCCCAAACTTGAAACCAGATGGCAGTAGAGTATTAAGATTTGCTGGGAAATGTGGAGTAAAAGTCAGTAATGAAAGAAAAGCACTGGTCCAAGGTTCATTGTGAAATACTAAAACTGTGGACTGTCAGTGTGACCATGCGTGCTGGAAATGACATCAACACTCAGCAATTGGGGGAGATTACACAAAATATAACAACTGCCATGAGCTGGTTATAGATGAAATA